TGCAGTCTGACGTAATGATTGCTGGTGTTGTCCAGTATTTCAGTATTTTGGAATAGAATTTCATGTCCGGTTTGTTTCAGGGCATGTTCAGCTACTGCAGATTTTTCTGGTTGTTTTAGTCTGCAGTGTCTCTCATGTTCTTTGATTCTGGTGCGGATGCTTCATTTTGTGCTTCCTATATATACCTGGCCACAACTGCAAGGTATCCGGTATACTCCTGCAGTGGTGAGGGGGTCCCTTCTGTCCTTTGCTGACCGTAACATTTGTTGTATTTTTGTGGTGGGCTTGAATACTGTTTGTAGGTTGCGTTTTTTCAAAAGTTTCCCCATGCGGTCCGTGACCCCTTTGATGTATGGCAGAAGTACTTTATTTGTGGGTGGCTGTTTTTCTTCTTCAGTTTGGTGTTGTTTTCCTGGTTTGATGGCTCTTGTGATTTCATTTTTGGAGTAGCCATTTGCCTGTAGGGCCCAATTCAGATGGTTGAGTTCAGTGCTAAGAAACTGAGCTTCACAGTTCCGATTTGCATGGTCTTCCAATGTTTTGATTATGCCTCTTTTCTGGTGTGGGTGGTGGTTGGAGTTTTTGTGTAGGTACCGGTCTCTGTGGGTGGGTTTTCTGTAGACCTTGTGCCCCACAACAACCATTAGATCCCGGCCGTGAAAGCCTTCACGGAGGTATGTTCTTTACTTTCCCCCCTCTCTATGCAAGTGAGTTGCTGTCACACTGGTTCGAATTAACCTCCATTCTTGATACATGCAAGCCAATTAATAATATTACTATTTCTAAAACCAATTCAGAATTACTGTTGGGCATACAGTTCTTTCAAGATGTAGGTAGAGTCGTCAGTTATAATTTTTGCTTCTATATTCTGTTAAACATAATATTTTCACTTACGAAAGAAAATGTTAAACAAGTAAAGTATAATTCCATAAATGCAGGATACAGTGCTTCCTGAAGTCCTTTTGCTTGGGAAATAGTGCTGCTAGTGACTATCTCATCAATACCACGGTTGGAAGTTAACTTGTGACCACAGAAGAAATATCGAAATTCGGATCAAAGTATTTCTTCTGATTATAACAATTGGAATGAAACCAACCCTAACCACCATCAAGTTGTAGAAAAAATATGCAACGACAGCACCTCACCACAAAAAGCCAGCATTGATCACTATCTAGTTCAGTATCTGGCAAAAGGGAAGTGTCTTTGTGATTTTCCTTTCAGATACAGGCAATATAATTCCTGATGTATATACGTAACTATTGACACCAGTGCTTTGGTAAGTATGTTCAACTCTACTATGGCTCTTAAGTATCAGGGTACTTGAACTAATTTGCTAGATGTGTAAACTGAACCAGGTTCCCACAGTCAAATGACAGGACATTGTGCTGACTTTGTGCTTCATGAAGAACCTGAAGATATATATTTAGAAAGACAGAGATGCAGATATGGGGCGTAAAACAAAATGTTCAGTACAGCTGGTATATATTCTTAAGCAAAACAAATACCACAGATGAGGACCTCTATTCTTTAGGGCAGTGGTTCTCAACCCTGGGTAATCTAAGTGTTCTTGGATTGCAATTCCCAGAAATCCTGCCCAGCATAACTAGTGGTGAACGCTACTGGGAGTATTAGTCAAGAACATACAGTTTACGCAAGGTTGGGAAGCACTGCTTTATGGGCAGCGCTTAGGCCCTTCTCCCAGCTACCCCTTAAAATCTAAAACTCATGTGTTGCTGAAAGCAAATCTGAATTGCTCAACTTCCTTACAGGACCGATCTTCAAGTGTAAGCACAAAAAAGATTCTCATCATAAGATATAGAGATCCATTCACTTCCAGTGTCAATACAGATCATGTTGCACCATGCAACCATGACAAAGAAAATTGACAACAGCGCTGGTACCACTAATAGTTGCTTCAAGGAAACTAGTCAGGACTATTTTTGTGATGTTACCTTCCTTGCCATTTGGTTTTCTCCTGCACATTTCCACAGATGGGTTTGGAGCAGGAGAGAACATGAGACATGATTCTGTTTGTGATGTTGCTATAAACCTTAAAAAGACCAAGGCATTGCTTCTCTTTTATGAATTCATGTCTTGTGACATGATGTCATTATTTGCAGGAAACAGGAAATCACAGCATGGGATACAGCCAACTTCCAAGACTTCAAACACACTCTGTTTACTTTCAGTGTCAAAAGTGAAGGAGCATATGAGGTATTATTAGGCAACACTGAATGGTTCCTTGTTCTGATGCATGAAATTATAGTGTGATCTGCATTCTGCACACTGCAAGCTGCACCTTCAAACATAAAAAACCAAAAATACTCATGTTTTTATTTTACATCTAATGACAGCTTTTAAGGTTCATATTATATCAGAATTACTAGTTTTCTTTCTGATCTGCAGCTTTTGTAATTTCTATTATCCATTAGAATCCTATTATGTTTTTACATCAATGTAAACAGTCTGCATAAATCTTTGTAGTGAATCATCACAAGTTAAAAAGTCAGCATAGGCACTTGCTGTTGTGTACCAACACAGAGAACTTGGTGCAAAACAGCAAATGCCTATGACGATTTCATAAGTTGCAGCAATTTGCCATTGAGACATATGCTGAGCATATTACACCAGTCGTTGCAACAAACAGCAATTCCATTCCTTTCCAACTGACTGTTTTGGAAAACAGCCACCATAGCCAATGACTGAGTTCAAGTTGGCCATAAACGCACCATTTTGATCAGTCTGAAAAACTCTGCATGTTTCTAGAACAGTTTGAATGCATGTCTTATAAAGTAAGTGGTGACTATACTATTACAACTGAAATTAGAAATGGCAAGATCTTTGTTCACAGAGCAATACATCCAGCTGATCATCCTTTTAAAATATATCAGTGGCCTGAACTTGACTTATTAACTTGTGATGACTTGATGCCATGTTTATGCAGACTGCATTACACTAGCATAAAAGCAGAATAGGATTTGACAGAAGTCAGTGTGGACATTTAGCTTTGCATACAATATTGGCTCCCTGATGGCTACTCGGTCCATTTTAAAAAATGCTGATGTTTCACATGTTTAGAATGTCTGCTGAAAGAGAATAGCAGAGTAAACATAAATAAAAAAGGAGAAAGAAGGAATAAACACAGAAGTGAAAGAGAAAGGATTTCATTGTCAATTTTTCAGCTCGTATAAAATTAATAATTGAGCTGACATCACTTTGCATCCGTCTTTCCTGGGCTGACTGAACATATGGAAAAGCCTCCCTGTGTGGCTAGATTTCATAGAGACACATCTCCCTTACCTTCCTTACATCTTCTTTTATTAATATTTACCATTTTTACTGGTTTCAACTTCATTCTGTCTTCTACTTCATCACACCTTCATCATATTGTACAGCTTGACCTGCAAATGTGTGAGAATGAAAATAACTTGTTAGATATGTCTATATTACAATACTCACAACCAAAGGACTAGATAACTAAATATCCTCCTGTAGCTAGTCCTCATTGTTTGCCTAGTTCTGTCAAAAGCAACTTTTGGTTCAAATACCGGTAAGTATTGAGTTACTGTATGTGACTGTTTCTGTCAAAAGCAACTTTTGGTTCAAATAAGTATTGAGTTACTGTATGTGACTGCATTTCCCCTGACCCTCTTTTCAGTGGCATGCTAAGGGGAACATGCTTATTCTGTCTGTCTTCATTTTGCAATGAACATGCAAAGTAAACCCAAGTTTAAGGGTGATATAAGATGCATTCTGATCATAATCCAAATGGAAGTAACCTAGAAGATCAGGATTACCAAATTTGGTCCATAATTGGAAAGGGTACTATGCAGCGGGAGGTGGTCATGGCTTGACTGCCAACAAGATAGCAGCTTATGAGAAGAGCTCTACTCTTACCCCACAGTGGAAAGAGTAATGCACTTTAAAAGATAATAGTGTATTTAATTAGCACCATAAGAGGACTGCAGTGGGGAAAACCACATTTTAATTACCCAACTTTTAAGATTGTTCTCCTCAACAGATGTACAAAATCAGTGCAGTGGCAACCTAATGAACAAATATAAGGTTACTTCCTGAATGAAACCAGGATAGAAGGAAAAACTCAAATATCTACCCTTCTGAAGCAAATAGGTGGAATCCTAAGGTGAAAATATCACTCTGCCCACACCTCTCATCTCTGATTTGACTGGGGGATAAGGAAGAGCTTCCTTGTGGATCCAGCAACTGGTCCATCTATTGGCAAATTTACAAATGCAGCTGGTTAAAGCTATGCTGTCCAACACTATAAAATACTGGCGGAAATCCTATTGCTTTTTTACACGTGGGGAAGACAAAACAGCATAACAGTCACTTGCTTCTAGCTAGCAATTAACAAGAAACTGTTGTAATTCTCAGCAGTTTTTGTGTCCATTAGTTTGGTGCACATTCAAGACCCTCAAGCAGGGACTTCTTACCTCTTGGCTAGAAGCAAGTCAAATTTATGTAATTTGTCCTCTGTGTGTGTAATAAAGGAACAGGATTTCAGCCATAATATACCTTAGGGAAGACTGAAGAAAATTGTATGTTCACTTTGAAGCCCCAGTATGACCCCTCTAGGGACGTAGTGGTGCTGCGAGTTAAACCGCAGAAGCCTCTGTGCTGCAAGGTTGGAAGACCAGCAGTCATAAGATAGAATTCACGCCGCGGAGTGACCTCCCATCACTTGTCCCAGCTCCTGGCAACCTAGCAGTTCAAAAGCATGTAAAATGCAAGTAGATAAATAGGTACCAACATGGTGGGAAGGTAACAGTGTTCCATGTCTAGTCGCGTTGGCTACATTACCACGGAAACTGTCTATGGAGAAACACTGGCTCTATGGTTTGGAAATGGGGATGAGTACCACCCCCTAGAGTTGGACGCTACTGGACTAAATGTCAAGGGGAACCTTTACCTTTACGACCCTTGTATCTGCGGGCGATTGGTTCCAAGCCCCCTCCATTGATGCTGAAAACTGTGGATAATAACGAATGCTATACATAGCATGAAAAAAATCCAGGAAAAATATTTTCATCATGTATTATCAGAACAAGCCATTGGAAGGAGCCAGAAACCACGGTATGTATTCCTCAACAACAAGAATACATAGCATGGTCTCTGCCTCCCTCTAGTGGCCAGGTCTGATAAATACATCACAAAAATACATATTTCTATGTTCCTTTCTTTTAACAGTATTAATATTTTCAAACCAGAAATAAGTGTAATCACCAATAACTGGATATGGGGGTCCCACTGCATCACTTTTCAATTCTATGGTCCTTGAAAGAAAGGATTTAATAGCATTGTTACATTGCCATACCAACTTCATACTGTCATGACCCTTAACAAAAAAATCTTCACTAATTTTGGATAAAGCCAGCAGTTGTCTGCCAGATATGAAATGGCTTAACAAGAATATGCACTGGTCAAGAAGGACCAGCAGATCAACATGTATGTAAGTCATTTCCTACACTCTTAAGAGTATTATTGACCCCAAAGATGGCGCTTGAATAGACACGGACACTTTGTATTTATATCCCAGGGGATATGAATACAGGTGCCTCAGAAGTCTACCCCCCAGAACCCGCTGGTCCACTCAGTGGTTCCTGCACAGTACATTTATCCACTGTCATCAACTTCGTGCCAATCACGAAAGTAGCCTGGCTGGTGCCTCCCCACCTATCCACACAACTGACCGCTCAACAGCTGAGTGGGGAGACTCTTCATCCCACCTCCTTTCTAGAGTTTTCAGCAATGTGGGGAGGCAGGGAAGTGCTGGCCAGGGTACTTTCACGATTGGTGCGATGTTGACGATGACAGATGCGCACAGTGTGCGGTGACCAATTAATGGACTGACTGGTTCTGGGGGGGACGGAATGGACCTCCATGGTACCTGTGGTGCTGCACTTTGTATTCATATCCCCAGGGATACGAATACGAAGTGCCCACATCTACATTTGAATTATGTTTGCAGGGCACTTCATCTTTGAAATTGTACTGAATCATTAAATAAGCTAATAATATATATACGAAATGCAATTCTACTCGGATGAAATGCTGGTGAGCCGTGCTAATTTCACAAAAAGCCCTTGTGTGGAGGGATATAGCTAGCTAACTGTCTTTGGGGAATGGAAAATTCTCTCATTATGTTTATGATCTTATGAATTCACTATCTAGACAAGTTTTCTCCAATGGGCAACTCTGAATGGGCACAATTTAAATAATGATGATGCCATGGTTTCTTCTAAGCTGCATGCCACAATGTAAAGATAGAGCTTTACTACCTTAACTTCTTTCCCATGCATTTCAAAAGAGGATTGTGATCTAGCATGTAGACTGGTTTTGTAAGTGAACTGAGGAAACACATACAGACAAGAAATTTGCATATGCCAGTGAACATATATCCACAATGGGGTGACAGTGTCTGCAATCACTGATATATGCTCTTCAACTCTAAAACTGGCTAAGGGACTTACATTACTAAGTCTTAATCCTATGACTGTTAGTACATTAATTGTACTTCATCTCTGCATCAGTCTACAGGAATCACATCTGGCTTTAAAACAAGTCACCAACTTCATACTAAGTAATAATGGGTCACATGAAATAGTTTTCTCCTCACATCTGGAGAGCAAGGTACTCACAAGCTTCACTAATGAAATACATGCATATTTGTAGACAGAGGCCCCTATTTCCGTGTTTATAAATCATATACGTACATACATCTGTTCTGTAAATCAGGCAAAATGGCATGGCAACTGCTTTTCTCATTAGTATCCTTGAAGCAAATTTTCTCATCCTGACTTCATGTTTAGGTTTTAATGATTTAGCAAATATTTTGGCAATCTCACTTTCTAGACAGTGGGAACTGGAATCAGATTCTGGCACAGAGCAAGTAGGCTGAGACCTAGGAGCAGTCAAGTTAAAATAATACCATATGAAACATGATGAAAACTTGAAAATCAGCTTGGAAGAAAACGAGTGGGAAAAAAAGAGAATGGCAGTTTGCTGTGTAGTTTCCCATGCACATTACCTTCTTTTGATGGGAATTTCTTGCTAGTTGTCCTGACTTCGCTTGAGAAGGAACTCTTTTTTTTTCTAAATTGTTTATGGGAGACAATATACAAAGGCCTACTTTTTGAACGGAGACAAGAGTGCTCTACCACAAATTTCCTGGATGAGTTCCTAACACAAGGCTAGTTAATGGATTCCTCAAATCTGTTTTCTCCATGTGAACAACTACAGCCAGGGTAAACGTGATCTTAATGGAGTGCAATAAGAAGCCTATTTTTTTAAGGGATGGACAGACTTGTCAACCTCAGTTTCTCTGAGGTCCTCATTTTTAAGTCTTAAGATTGGTTATCCCAAACTTTGAGAAGTGTTGAATCTTAAAGTTGCTTACTCCCAAACTCTGAAACTTTTTGAAAAGCAACAATTTCACATTTACCATATTTTTCCATGTATACGACACCCCCAATGTATAAGATGACCCCCAATTTTGACCCTTGCTGGAGGCGGAGGAGCACTCAATGGGCAGCTGCGATAGGCAGCCCAGTACAGCTGCTCCTCCGCCTCTGCCTCCTGCTGCTGCTTCCACTGCCCAGTTGCCTCCTCCAGCGCCAGTGCCATGGCTCACCTCCAGCTCATGTCACCGCCTTGTCCCCTGCCTAAAAGGGGCCCGTGAGTGGCGCTGGAGGAGGCGATCTAGAGGCAGCAGCAGTCAATGGGCAGCCACGAGAGGCAGCCAAGTGTGGCCTCCACCTGCTTCCATGTATAAAATGACCCTCAATTTTTCCACTAATGATTTTAGGAAAAAGTGTCATTTTATACAAGGAAAAAATATGGTTACTTAAAAAATTGTTGAAGCCATTTCTCTGATGTATACATTTTTGTATAAGACTGTCAGGATGTGTGTGAAATAAATCACTCTTACATAGTTAGCAGGGTCCCGAACAGAAAATTTACGCTTTCTCTTCTCCGGACAGCAGTGAAAAGACACCGCGGAATTTTTGCTTTGAGAGATTTCAACAATATAATTCACAGACAATTTGTTGTCTTTCTCCAGCAAAGGCTTTTATCTTGTAGTTTCAGGAAAACATTTACAGCAGCTATTTACAACACTCCAGAAAGCAAATTGACAGCATCACAGGCAGAACTTCAAACTCTATGCACAGAAGCATGGTACCAACTTTGTTACTTTTATATCCATCTTGCTGATGCCATCTTGCTACCTGGATTGCACCAGATGTACAGTGACTCAGCAGAAATCCACTGCACATGTCTATTATGTCATAACTTTCCTTAAAGAGACAATATTCTCTAGTATTTAGACCTATACTCTGACAAAAATTTGGATCAATATACATATTTATTGTAAAAAATATTT